TAGAGGTCGGGGGGAGGGTCTGGGGGATGATAAAGCGCGAGATAGCTATGAAGTAATGTGGAGTTGAGATGGGAAGTGAGACCAAAAACCTGAACTAGGATAACCATCTGCAAAAGTGTGATTCCCCCCCGGCCCGGAAATTAATTCATAACATTACCCCGCTATCACGCCAGCGGTCTCTGCCTTCTTGGATGCAAATACCAGGAACAAAGTTTAAACAGAAGCGGTATCCAGCTGGCAGAGCTGAGTGCATCTCTGGGGGTTAATGTTAGTGCCAGGAATCGGTGGGGCGTGAGCCTCGAAGCCTGGAAAGCTGCTTGCCTTCCAACTTGGAAATGCGGGCGGGTTGTCTTTTCTGCAAGTTCTCCGTTGTCTGAGCGCTTGGAGCAGAGCCTTCTTCCCTCCCCAGCTGGAGAAGCCAGGCGTTGCTTGGCGGCCACCACCCTGCTGGCTCGCACCCCAAGGGGCCTCCTCTGCTGGCAGAAGGCAAGCCATTTTAATCTCCAGCAACGCCCCAACAAAGCCATACTGCAAGTCACGATGGAATTTGGGGAGGGGCCTGCCTGCAAACTTTCTCATCCCTGGTAGGTTGTGTTGGGGTCCCGAGGACCCTAAATGCTGTTGGATGAGGTCCTAGGCAGCGGCTGGGTTCACACAACACACTAACCTGGGTCAATGAAGCGCACACTGCTGTCTCACACACCCAAACATATCTCCCTTGGTATGATTAATGTGATTCCCACGGCTCTAATACAACCGTTGAGTTTTCTAGAATGCGGTGGCAGAATTCACACAACACGCTTAACCTGCATGTTGAAAATGTTGACTTCGTTTTCTAGGTTCACCGAATACTTGACCCAAAGGGCTAGGCTCGCATCGCATCACCAGCCACCCAAAGTTAAACATTTCCTAAACCTCGTCTGTTGCACGAAGGCAGCTGCTGGTGAAGTGATTGTGTGGACGCCGAGGGCCTGAGCTACAGTCCCCTCCATCTCATTTAGGCCTAGCCCGGCCTGTGGTGCAAACTCAGTTTCTCGCTTAATCTTTGCCCAGCCGGCCTCAGATTCTGCAGGCCGACGAAGCTGGTCGAGCGGTCCCTTGCAACGGGGGCCGGACGGTGGGGGGCAGAGGTGGCGCAACCGGTGCAGCCTGCTCGGGGCTCCCTGGTGCAACACTTGTGAGCCAACCTTGTGAGCCAGGAGCCACCCCTCTCACGGGGGAGGGGGTGCCACACGCGGGCAACCACTGACATTTTGCGTCTCTGAGGGCTTGGGATATTTGGGGGGTGGGCCTGGAGGGCCAGGGCCCAGCTGCAGCCCAAGCGGAGGCTGGAGGAGGAGACGGTCCCCGTGGAAGGCTGAGTCAGGGCCGGGGGAGCTCGGTTGCTGAGCTGAGGGTCCCGTACCTGGGGCAGGGGGGATGGGTCCAAAGGCCCACCTCGCACCGGGGCGTTGGCCGGTCCGGTTCGCCCATCTCCCCTCAAGGCTGCGCTGAGCGGTGGGGGAGGCTCTGCCCAACCACGGAGGGTGGGCAGGGCAGGGCAGGGGCCGCTCTGTGCCTTGGGAGAACGTGAGATCCGTGGACGTGGCAACCAGGGACCGGAGGCCACGGGGAGTGGGCTTTTCCAAACCCCGGGGCTGAGCTCATCCTCTCGGTCGTCCTGCTGGCCGCTTGCTAGCTTTGCCCCGGCGCTGCATTCGCCCCTGGGGGGCAGGAGCGGCCCTCCTGATCGGAAGGCAGGCAGACCCCCCCGCGCGTCCCTCGGATGAACTTGA